ACAAAGTCATTATTGTGCTTGACAAGAGGAGCATCCTATAATCGCGGAGAAACAGTTGCCCAATAGCCAGATTGCTCGAACTTATAAGGGTCGTAGCATCTATAAATCTATAAACTGTATAATTTATAACTAATGTGGCATATTTTTAGTTAGGCAGACAAATTTAGTCACATCATCAAATTATGAACTCGATTATGAACACTGCTATTTCCCCACTCTGTATCAGTGAGGTAAATATGTACATACATCCTCCTGTTGCTTGAAAGATCGCGCCTGACCAGGGCATTTAGGTGTCATGCCGGCGGTATTTTCAATATCCTCGCCTTGACCTGCTCACTGCCGCCCGTTTCCGCTATCCGGAAGTTCTTGCTCAGGGATAACCAATCGCTAGCCAATAAACATCGTCAGGACGCAGGGCGCTTCTTTAGATCACGCCCCTCAGCCTGACTGGGATGTTTATGTACCTTTTGTTGACTTTCACAAACTTCTTGTTCGTTCCTAAAAGTCAAACATGATCTGAATTGTTAATGACATTCGCTTTAATTATTTGCTTTGAATTTATGGTGCATATTTTCAAGATGATTACAGTTTCTTCGTGTGTGATTTAATCTTCTTGTTACTATTGTTTTATCTGTTAAGTTTCTCAATAGTGAATGCAGGATCCAAAAATATAATAATAATCGTACTTTCCCAGTCTAGTCATTATACTTATCCTGGGTTTGATTTCATGAATCTCACACAAGCAGTGTAATGGATTGGGTTGCCACTAATTATTATTCCTTCCCCACTTAACAAATGGCTTCAACTGATATTTTCTCAGTGGTATCGTGTAAAGGTTCCACTGGACGGTCATTGAGGGCCGTGGCGTGAGGCCAGGCGTCAGTTGAGTGCGAGTGCTGAAACGATTAAGTTGTGTGCCTCTCTAAGCGCAGGCTTTATTCAAGTGAGCAGCGTGCGGCTGATATAACTGAGTTTAGTGCGTGCAATACACAGATTGATGAAGTTAATTATTTTATAATTGATTATCGGAGTTTAAGCTATTCTGAACTTGTGCGTTGAAAGGAAATAAGTTGCTGAGATTTGTTCATTTCTACTTATCAACCGAGTGATCTGCCAACTATGTTAGATTATGTGAGTATGAAATAATTTTATTAATGAAAAATATTTGTAAAAATTAAAAAAAAATAATGTTCACGAAAATTTAATAGTGGTATCCACTTGACTTTGAATGTTATTTCACTTTGATAAATTAAATAAACGAACGTTTTCTTTTGTCGATAGCGTCAAAATTAACTCCAGTTGTCATCGCATGCGTTTTCGTTCCATCAAATGAGTTTTTTTCTGGTAACGTGTTTTAACAGATCAATAATTCCTAAATTAATCATCAACGCTCTAGACTAGCTCAGCTTAATTGCCTGCAATTTCGTGTTTTCCTCAGCGGTGGACGCAATTATTTAAGGTTTTCTGGTGTTGTTAACTCATCGTCGACTCGATTTACTAAAGTTTAAAGTTACTATATCTATAAGTACACTAGAATATTACTAAGTGCATATGTTAAACTCATCGTCGACTAGATTTACTAAAGTTTTGAATAACTTCTTAATCGCCATACATCTTATCAAACCTGCTCCAAAGAGCGTAAAAATCCTGTAAGCACTTGATATGCGTCCGTATATTTTACACCCCAAATAAAACTACCATGTTGCACGGTGAGCGTCGGCGGTGAATCCCCGCTGTGTTCATTTAACGTCGAATCTTGCGTCAATCGCCCCGCTTATTTGCTCAGATTCTTAATTTATATTGACTAATTTGGTTTGATAGGAATACTTGTCGACAGTCAAGCTTTTCTTTTGTCCTTCAATGGAATTTTTGACCCTTAATTAACCCCCGCTCGAATATTGATAGACGGCCGCTGACCATGCCTGCTTCTGAATTTTTTGTAAAGAATTGTTCAAGTCATTCTAGCTGGCGCCAGGCACTCAGGTGCGTGTACCCATTTCAATATGAACGACTAAGATCGCAAATTGTATGATATTTAATTAAGTTTCTCAATGACCTGCTCAACTTTAACCGCTTCATTTATTTCCGTGTTAGTTTTTTTAGCTGCTAAGAGTCTGATTTAAAGGAAAAAACATGATATAGCCAAGTAATTTATTACCGTTTATTTGATTGGTCTTATCCTAATAATGTAGCCCACGCTAAAAAAAATTGCCGTGAGGTTTGAGGCAGGTTTTTCATCCGAAAGATTAATAAGTTACAGGCATTGTATAGTCATTTACCCACAAGACATGCTAATTTATTTGCCCAACTCTCACACTCGACAAACTTTCTGGCAAGTCATAACACTAACGTCAGGTGCAGCCGAGGAGTATGAACTCGTCATGAGGCGTGCCCTATGACATGATTCATGTCCACCATCCATGCGCACGTGAGGCGTACGTCATGACATGATTCATGTCGACCATCCATGCGCACGTCGACTCGTGGTCTTATGCCCAGGTTAACGCGTACCCATAACTCATCCTTGACCTGCCTCCACCCTCTCCCCCAACGTGGTTTTGGGGCTAATTCTGGAGAAAATTCCGAAGACGCGACCTATAAATAGCCAAGCAAGAGTCATAATGCTTGCACAAGTTTGACAATCGACGAGGTAGAAATCTAATATACGATCATCTTTAATTTAATTTAATTAATAAATTAATTTAATTTAAATTTAAGTTCGTGGACACAGTTCAGTCAGAAGAGTGCCGTGCATCGTTTTTGATAGAAGTAAATAAGTGTTCAACTTCTTTTGCTTGCAAACAATCATAATTTTCCGCTGTTGTTTATTTTTTGGAATAATGAATTTCATTTTCTTTCGCTTGCATGTGAAAGAAAGCACCGCTTTGTAAGGTAAAATACTGTATATTCACAGCGTTGCCATTTAGTTCATGCACGGAAACGATATTGAATACCAAATAAAAGTAAAAAAAATGAATAAGCTGGTAACTATGGCCTAGGGCAGTATTTATTTTTTATCGCTGTATATATTATTAGTTCAGAATACTCCTATTACTATATAATACATAATACTATATAATATAATATATCATAATACTATATAATATAAGGGAGCACGTGGCCGTCTCCATAGTACTAACGTATCAGCATTTGAGTTAATTTATTCAGCAAATATTCAATATGTCTCAAACGTTGAACGATTGTTTTAGGTTGATGGTTGACTGTTAACTTCACAGGTCAGCGACCAACTATCCGCTTCACGGTAATTCGAATTCCTGCATTGTATGCAAGATTACACATGCACCAGTGAAAAGGGGAATTACTTCGCTGGTTGCCCGTTCGCGACCAGGATTGAGTACAGGAGCCCGTCCCGCCGGCATGGGATTAAATTAATAACATTTCCGGTCCAGCATCGAGAAAGGAAACGCGGGGAAAGCACCCATGCTGCCCGCTGTATCATTTGAAAACGTACAGCTTTGACTGTAGATACAGTACGTTACAGTGCGTTAACTGTACGTTACAGTACATTGACGTACGTTACAGTGCGTTAACTGTACGTTACAGTACATTGACGTACGTTACAGTGCGTTAACTGTGCGTTACATTACAGTACATTAACAGAACATTGACGTACGTTGCAGCGAAAGCAGTTGTACTGTAAAGTACGGGCTATCTTGAGTCAATGCTGCACTACTCTAAATTCGAAATTAATTCCATGTTTAGTGAGTAAATATATATGTATTGTGCAATTTTAGATTATTTGCAGTAACTAATTGCTGAGTGCGAAAATAGAATGTTGATATGTACATAACTGTCGTTAGCCGACTTTAGTCCGAGAATATAACAAACTATTTACCGTGAATTTGAATGCGCAATTACGGTGTGCAGTATATTGGACGATACGGTACACCAAATAAATTGCTATGTGTAAATGCTGTTTTTAGTTTTATATTTCTTCTTATTGCCTCTGTCGGATTGGATTTCTTATTGAATTTGAACGTAAGAGTACGCAATTAATTCACTTTTATGGCGGCGAAAATATAACGATGAAAGTTTCTTGTTCATGACCATGACTCGCGATGCGCTTCCTGCTCTTCAAGGGAAACTCTTGAAGATCGCAGAGGGTAAAACGGCAAAGTCATCCTGCTGTACGAAACGCTTCGTACATGCAATTTTTCTCTTGTTGATCCATCTATAATTTTCTGACGCGACTCATTTCCTGGTGATTGCCATTTTTCAAATCAATAATTGTTTTCATTCTAGCAAGTGAATGCATCATCGACGTAAAAATGGAATACGGTTGCAACTCAATCCACATCTGGTTTTTATATCGCTCATATAGTGCTAACTCTACGCTTCGTTTTAGATACAAAACAATCGCATGTTTCTAGCACAAGGCACATCAACAATTGATGAATTAATGAGAAACTGGTTACAACAACCTGTATTGTTTGCGTCGAAGACTTCTTGCTTGTCATTGTCATGAGTCTGGTGCTTATATACTTTAGTGGTATTCTATTTTTTGTACTCAGAATTTTTGGCGGGGCTGAAGACGCAACTGCTGCTGCCCCAGCCTAGGGGAGCTCCCCTGCATGTGATGCCGCCGTACTCAGCTGATCGCCGCCGTTCGAATTTCGCTGACGTCATTGCTCGTTCGTTGCTTTAATTTGGAGAGTTTCAGAGAGTAAATCATAGTTTTGGCAATGGACTAAAGTCCCGTTCGAGAACAAAGCTTCTCAAGATGGCCGTTCCAGTCCACGAACACCAGTTTTATTATTTCTGTCCCGTTTTGATTCAATTTAAAGAGAAAGCTATCCAAATTAAAAATTGTACAGTTTGGCTTATCGCTCCATTCACGTTCCCATCAAATGTAATGAAGAGCTTCCTTTGAGTTCTAAACTTGAAGAGCTTCGTTGAGTTCTAAACTCATTTTTTTGCGTTACAATTACGCCATGTGTCAATGATTGAATTTAATGCAGGTTGTTCCATTCGTTTTGCAGATGGAAGGTCGGGATCACCACTTACGCCTGAACGTGCTGGAGGACAAGAAGCCTAGAGTGCCCATGTACCCTCCCTTGGACGCTTCAGACACCATGGTCATGTCGGGAGATTCCTTGTTTTCCCCTCAGTCGTCGGCACCATCATTCGAGGATCGTATGATCGGCGACCGCAACCTACTTCACCATCACCGCGAAGGACGGCTGGCGCGATTCGGCGCGTCTCACAGCCTCTATACTGATAACGTGACCTCTGAACACACCATCGCTGACCTCAGGGATACCATCATGGCGCTGCAGATACAGAACAATGAATTGACGCTCTGCCTGCAGCAGGAAAGACGGAGAAGAGAAGAGGCCGAAAACAAAGTCGAGCGGGAAAAGGGCTACATCAAGCGACTTGAAGATACAGTGCAGGTGTGTAAATTTTATTGTCGATACGTTTTTGTGTAGACGCTTATTTTAATACTAGAGAAGTTGATTTTCTCATTGCTCGAGGGTCGATTTAAAATCGTTTGAACTGCACAGATTATCAAATTGCTCCTGCACAAGACCATTCAATAAATAGCAATTGGTAGGCTTCTTGTGGCAAAGGGCTTTTCAAAGGACATGGTGAAACCTGCAATAAACGTTCGAGGTGAAACATGGGGGTAAATTTTTGAGGTGATGCATGAATTAAAGAAACCTGATCTCGAGTGGTCAGAATAATTCATGTAATCATGTTCACCGAGCGCTTTTACTGCAGATGATTAAACGTTGAAGGTGAAGCTTGAAGTAAACGTTCGACGTGATGTAAGAAGTAAACTAAGTTACGTGAGCAGCACTAACTACAGTCAACTTAGTATGCGACTCGCAGCGAAAGTAGGCAACGCGGGGAAGCCCCGCTACGCTTGCCACTGGAGGCTGAGTGGCCCAAGGTTGGATGGCAATGGGTGTGCGGTTACTCCGTCGCATCGCCCCACTGCCATAACTGTAACGGCTTGCGTTTGCCACGTTGTGTGCTCCTTGCTTACAATCAAATCGGGGAGTAAGAGCTCATAATATGACTAATCTCTCATATTCCTCAAATTGTCGTTGAAAATTCGGACGTTATCAGTAAGATTACTTTACCTTATTACTACATGTACATTCATTAATCACTGACTAATTTTGCGGATTCCGACTGTATTCGGTCATGTGTGGCCGGTTTTCTGTAATTAACATTTGCAGTGTGCGTGGAAGGAAGTTTACTCCTAAGCAATTTAGTTTCATCCATTACCCACAATATTACGAGCGGTCTCAATAGCTTCAGCGTTATTGGGCTGAAAATTTTATTCTAAAGGTTCCCCAGTGTTGGGCAATCTAACAGTGTAAGACAGACTTTACAGGTTTCACAGTGTTGGGCAAGTACTCTAACAGTATGATCGACAGACTCTAAAGGTTCCATTGTGTTGGCAAGTACTCTCTAACAGTGTAAGACAGACTTTACAGGTTCCACAGTGTTGGGCAAGTACTCTAACAGTATGAGACAGACTTTACAGGTTCCCCAGTGTTGGGCAAGTACTCTAACAGTAAAAGACAGACTTTACAAGTTCCATAGTGTTGGGTAAGTACTCAAACAGTGTAAGACAGACTATAAAAGTTCTATTGTGTTTGGCAAGTAACAGTATGAGACAGACACTAAAGGTTCCATTGTGTTGGGCAAGACGCCGCAGCTTCGGGATTAGCATGAATTCATGAAGCTATTGAGCAGCTCTAGGAAATGCTTCCAATATTGGACGGTCAATTACGCCCGTAACCCGTATTGATACATTTGTAAATCGTATGCTGTGAATCAACTCAAGAGTAAATAAAATTCACTCAAGAGTATATAAAATCCGTTTATGGTCAGTTTACCATACATGGCGATCTATATTCTATTGAACTGGCACGGACTTGCATTCATATCACTTCACTTTCTATCTTTATTTAAATCCTTGTTTTTAGATGATATTCGCAGTGATTGTGTTCGATTGCTACAGTTTCCTCGCCCGTGCGGCTTCTTAATCTAAACGCCTAACGAACTGAAATATCTACAGAAAACTTAGCACAGTCTTTATATGAGCATAGTTCCAGAAGTAGTCCGCTAACAGCTGTTTTGATTATTGATGGTTTTCGCGAATTTCATTTTTATGTACAATTCAACAAAAAATTATAATTTTTGAACTAAAGTCTTCATTTCTTGTTCTAAATGGCTCATCCCGCAAAACAACTTACTCATCCTCTTAATCAACCCAATTTACAACTTAATTATTCTCTCACTCCACACACATACTGCCAATGTAACCGCTTCAGAGTAAACAATATCGCTAATTTTTGTCATTGTGAGTCTAGCGCCAGGTTGAGGCTATTCTTATATGTAACCTCGTGCAATATTTCACATAAATTATCGAGTAAATCTGGAGCTTACAATTTTTTACAAGCATTGCGACTATTGCCGACTAAATCAACTTACTCTGGCATTGCTCGTCCGTTATTGCATATATACTGCTGCTAAAAAGACTCAGCAACTACAACGAGCCGCTATACAGTTGGCAAGCTCGCCAGGTAGCAGGTAGACCAAACGTCCTTTCTTCCTCAACTGTGTGGCGGAGGCAGCAGCAGCGCCGGCAAGTGGAAATGCGATCTGACAGGGAAATTTCCCTCCCTGCCTGACGCGCTCGGCATAAAAACAAGTACGCTTGTGTATACACATTCCGAGCTGAGCCTAGCTGTATGGGCTGCTGTATGTTAACTAAGTAGTACGCCGTTTGCACCGTGTACGCTGTGCATTCTTAGTATATACCGAGTAACAAGTTGGTTTTGCTTGAACACGAACTCATCTAAAGTTCACTACTGAACTACGCGTAACTTATGTGCAATTAGAGAACTGTTTCTGAAATCAGTTGAAATGGTTGTTTCAAGACGTTTGTTGGAATTTTCGTACTTTTTGTCTGAAAACCTGCTGAAAACTCCCGTACTCACTTCAAACATAGAAACGTCCGTCGAGGGTGGGCGTCTAACTGTATACTCTGGACCGAGGACACCACAGAAACGAACTGCGTGCGGCCGCAGTGCGGAAATATTCCTTGGAGTTTCGATGATCTCCCCTCACCGTAACAGTACATAGATGCCAGCACCTTCTTCACTCGGCATTTTCGAAGTCGCCTCCATTTTGGGGGGGGGGCAAATTTTGGTCAATTATTAGATCGTTGGCATTTATCTGTGGTCACGCGCCGCTAATAGAGTTAAGGTATGCCAGACATGACCATTGCGCAGCCGTGCATTACGTTCATAGTCAATGGAGTTGAGATATTTTCCGGGCTGCAGTTTTTTGGACAGTGGTGGAGAAATGCTCTGTCTACTTATTACTGTGCTGTTCCCTGACAATTTTTTTTTCTCTCAAGGCTGCGCTTGCGTGTAGTTATTAAATGCAATGTTGTTTGTGTACGCCAGCCAGCCAATGTTGTTTGTGTACGCCCATTGAAGTCTTCCCTTTCACACGCACTTTAAACGTCAGAATTGCTTCAAATGGGCCAGAGTCAAACTAGAAAATTGTTGCTCAAGTTGGTATTTGCTTTTAATTGGTATTTGCTTTTATTATAATATTCTGATAAAGATTTTGGCTCTTTTGAATGGTGCTCGCTGTAATGCCGCCTTGAATGACGCAATTGTCGAATGATTTCTAGAAGTGACTTTAGTTTGGATATAGGAAGCAGGAAAGGAGATGAATTATTTAGGATAAATCATAGCCGCTGCCTCATGTGCCATGGTCGCTGCCTCAATCCGTCGAGCTACAGAAAGAGATTGTCACCTTTGCTTCTTCTGTCAATAGTTCATCGTCATCCTCGCGAAGCATCAAGTGCTTAATGCAAGCTTTTCCGCTCTGTCTTCTGTGACTTTTGATAAACGTTTCCGTTTCCGCAAAAGGTGCGGGGGCTAAGTCCTGACGCGTGGCATTGAGACGCACGCTCCTCCTGTGTGCTATAGCAATTAATCAAAAGTTTAGTTCTGCTTTGATGAAGTCAAGGTGCATAGTTTCCTGAAGTGTTGGATATCACAATCAATTGGGTTGATCTGACAAATTTTGTCAACCTTTCGTCTGGCTATGTCCGCAAAGACTATTAAAAATGGTGCTTATTTATCATTCACGATATTTTATTTACTTTTATTTATTTGCAATCAAATTCTGAGCCAAAAATTATTTCCTTACAATTTAGACTGCAAGTTTTAGGTTTGATCTTGCCCCAACACACCTGGCTGACGAGTAGACCAAGTGCGTGGCGACTTTACACAGCTGAAGCCAAAGCGACGCTGACTTCCTTGTTTACATGTGGCACGCCCCGGGCGCCAACAGACATGGAGGTCTCGGCGGAGCATTCGCTGCGACCTGTAAACCCGACCTCAACTGGAGAAGTCATAAGTCGTGCAATAAATGCTTAGGCATTTGCTACAGCGGCGCAAGCATTCGATTCCTACGTTTTTTTTCTTTTTCATAAATATTAGGAACATGCATTTATTTCTTATCTTCAAGTTTAAGTTATTTATAGAATTACACGTTAAGCATGAGCTAAAACATACCGTCTTTAATATTAATAAAGTATCAAGTGCTGTCTGTATACATCAGATCCTTTTGCTATCAAGTCTAATATGCTATTTTTAGACCAGATCTTTTTGCTGGCTTCTTGAGGGTCATGGCCTCAATTCGTGGGTATAATTTTTGTGTCCTACTGATCGAAGAATTGATACTAAAACTGGACGAGAGAATGTTCTCTGACCTGTAAAAGGAGTGTTGCGTAGTACCTGAATCTCATCCTCACTCTCCGCAAACGGGTTAGTTTTGCGTTTGCTGATTCCGAATTTCTCACAAGCCTGAATTCGTTCAAGGATTTGCTTCCGTATGGTGGCCACCGAACAACAAAGAAGGCTGGCGATCTATGATCCAAAATCCTGGTCATATCCAAAATCCTGGTCATATCCAAAATCCTGGTCATATATATTGGGGCTCAGCTTGCAATTTATCCCTCTGTTTACAGTTGCATTATCAGTCGTGCCTAAATGTCAGGTTAACACCAATGCTCTCACCAGACACAGGGTTGAACATGGATGGCTATTTCGGATAATTTTTCGATTTTTCTGGAGAGTCGTGGTGTTTTCCTACGTATTTCCTACGTATTTTATTTAGAGATTAAGAAGAGGTTGTAAGGTCCAACTTGGTAATCCACATTACGCAATAGATCCTGTGTTGGCATACCTAATCTGTTTAGACGTTGTGTCCAGCGTTACGTTTCATTTCAGTCGCGAGAACTGAGTTCGGCCTGGAATATTATGCTAATGCAGCGCCGTGATCTTCATGAGCGATTTAAGTTGTAGATAAGACCCTCATACGCACGAACTATGCACTTGGTTTTCAGGGCAACTCTTATAAGTGCCACAAAAACTCTGTAAATGATCGCAAGGATCCAAAATAATTTGTAAATATTTTTTAATTCCTTCGAGATTATTGGTTTTGATTTTCATCTGTATTGTGAAATGAGGAAGATCTTCTATTTTGAGATAAATAGTACCGAAATCAAAATTTTCTGATTCGTTCGTACAGAGAAGCGGCACAAAATTTTACTGAGCCAAAGATTTAAGAATGAATATAAGAATAATTTTTTTCCGACCTAGTCAAGGTTGCAACTTGCAGGCCAAAACTCTTTCCGTAAACACGAGTTCGACTTCGTTTGTCGGTACCTTGGATAATAGGCCACGATTCTAACATTGAACGGCGGAGGCTGTAAACTGATGCGTACTAATGACCAAGCTCAATTTGCGGCTAGTAAGCGCTAGCGACTCTACTTCTGTTTTTTAAACTATTACGGTTTCCTCGTTCAATTTCTCTTCGTGCCACACATACAATTATTTCCTTGGGCTGGTCAAGCTTAGTTCCAAATTTAATTTTCCTTTGTTCCTTAGTTGGCGCGCGGAACGCAAGTGAGTTCTGATGATAGTAATTTAATGAACATTTTGGTCTTACAATGGACAAAGTTCCAAGAACAATTTATGACGCTGTACGGTATACTCAGCATGCATGACGCTTCCTAATTTGAAATAGTTTTCGTGAGTCCCCTTCGCGTTAAATTGAGGGAAGTCTCTAAATTCAGGTCCAGGATTCAAATATCAAATTCAAACCAACAGCGTAAATACAATTAGCTACTTATTGTCTGTATCTTAATGTCATATGATAGAGATTAAAATTAAAAACCAATTTGCAAATTGTATACTCAAATCTCAAATTGTGAGTCTTTTATACCTTAATCTTCAACTCGATTGCAAAATCAGTTTTATTCGAAGTGGTGGCGACTATTCGAGCTACAAATCTTTATGCGCACTCGAGATTATTGGCGTGCAGTTATAATCGTTCAAAAAGCCATCAATCATAACAACGAGGAATCATTTACGAATTAAACTTGTAATTTGACGTTACACAAAACAAGAAACGACGTTATCAGTTGGAATGGAGCGTAGCAGTCACGGCTCAGCTGGAGACAGATCGCACACATCAACGCCTGTGGTCGCGTCGCAGCGCTAATGCCAAGGCTATGCACTTTTTCACTCGCTTCGTAAACTGACCTGAATCGATGCAGGAAGACCCAATAGCTACTTGGCCTGCAAACGCCACGCCTTCCTTTAAATTATATAACATTTTTCTCACTTGCGAAGTGAGAGCGAGGCCTGCTAATCTTGCGCTTATCTCTTAATTAGGTTAAAGTGACGATATTTTAGCTTTGGTTGGCAGGACTCTAAAATATGCTGATGTTCGTTAACCTTAATATCACCAGCAAATATCTTCTGCGGATGATGTTCCTGGGTTTGAGGAAGTAAAGAGCTCACAAGAAGCTTTTCATATGTCATCGAGACCTCATGCCGATTGCAAACTCACTCTGCATTTTCGATTGCAACTCACTCTGAGTTGAAACTCGTTTAGAAATCGGGATAGACATGCTTATTCTTTATTTAAATATCTTTTTATTAGTAAATAAAATAAGCTGATTTGTCTATTGAGTGCGAGACAGTTGTCCTCTTATTCATATTTGCCACGACTTCTCAACTGCAAGAGCTATTCTCAGTCACATGCTAAGAATGTTTTACGTTCTAGACTCTAGAGGTACTGGATGCATTGTTACCAACAGACTCATTGCGCCGTCGTGTGGCTGGGAGCTTCGTTACGAGCAAGGTTGCGTTCGCTATCGTCGCTAAAGAAACATTTTTAGATACGAGGCTGCGTGTGGCCTTGCCTTTAGGCTCTGTTTCGAGCGGCTAGTCATGGTCCTGAAAAGAACGAGTGGTTGCCTGGCTGCTCAGCGAGCGGCTTATCAAAACCGAGGCTTGCGTTTACTGTACAATTGTTCACTCGATTGTCAAGAAAGTTTCCCATTGTTAGTTTTGTTATTCTAATTAGATATTAATGTAGGAGTAAACCAGTATTTTTGAAGTCACTTGGTTGAAACAGTTCTATTTAATTCCTATTTTAATAGAACGCAAATTTTATTATTGTACCGGTATTATATTAAATTACATTATTGACTTCATAATATAATGTATAAAACAAGTTCACGTTTATATTCATGCATTTTGTTCAGAGCTGGAGCTTTACGTTGTATATAAAGAACTGGTAATCTTTTCAAATATTGACTTGAAATTTATTTTTATAGTAGCTTCAGCAGTGCGTGTAAGTTTCTCAGGGCAACAGATAATATTTTTATCCTTAACTGAAGCTATTAACCGTGGAAAGATTACACTGCTTACGTCACAGGAAGTGCTTCCTAGCGGCTCACCACGACTGGTAAATACCTATGTCAAATGACACGCGCGACGCGGCATGGGGTGCGCCATTTAGTAAGCATGCGTCAGTGGCGAGATGATTCTGCAGAAGCTTATCATGCGCGGTCACAAGATAAATGATGAGCAGATACATGGACGGGGATTTATGTTTTCCTGATCCTAAGATTGTCGAAATTGGCGGCATTTTATAAGGATCGGTAATAATATCTCGCTAAGTAAATGCAGAAAGTCGGTTAATATCAAGTGTTGCAGTAGGAAGCTTGAATTAAAGGAGATTATTTGCTTCACGATGTATATTTTAAATGCTGAAAATTAATATATGTCCTCCATTCTGATTTGCTTGCTCTTGTTTGTTTGAATTAATGTTGAATTTTATTTTACAGGCCCTGAGGAGCACGCGGCTGGTAATAGACCCGACAATGTACCGTCAGATCGCCGAGTCTTACATCGCGTCTCGTCAGACCCCCGTCAGGCGAACCTGTTCCTCGAGTACGCATAGGTCTGGACGCTACGAAGACCTGGTGTGCGACTCTAGCTCTGACGGCTCTGTTCCCTCGTCGCCATCCACCTCAAACTCCACCGCGCCTCTGCTGGGGGCCTATCAGTCTGTAGGGCAAAATGACCTAACCCCCGAAGGCCTCGGATGTTCCGGGTTATCCTCGTCAGCTTCGTCACGTCCGCTGATGAACGACATGCAAGATAGATTGAAGTCTTCGCCAAGCATCCCTCAGCATTCTCAAGTTAGTTGCTTGCAGATATTTGTTGAATACCCTATTAGAAATTTTGCACGAGACGGGAATTACCGTGTAATAGTGTGAACGCAGTGAGCATTACGAAATGTATCCATCCTACAGTTTTTCACATCCACGATAATTAATGCACATGCATTAATTTTTCATTTATGTTTATTAATAAGAAACCATTTTCGTATTAAAGCTTGTCTTACTTAAAATTCTGAATTTCTACATCATATGGAATTTTTTTTAGGATCTTCGATGGCCCTCAGACCGCGACGACCCAAGCCATTCATCCGAAGAATTTCTGCTCCGCGATCCCCATGCATCCGTCCGGACTCCTTTCGACGGCAAAAAACTATAGCTACTTGCTCTGCTTTTCAGTCACCCATCGAGATGCAACCGATGTCGTGAATATCGCGAGGTCTTCGAGTGCCATATGCAGAAACACTGCGATTCTTCGAACTGAAAACTGCATTTCCTCGTGAATGAGAACGCGCCATGTCAAGTCACCCGAGGAAATGTCACCATCTTTGTTGGCGAAGAGTTGGAGGAACAACCCCTCTACCTTCGTTTAGTGGTGCCGCGTCCTACGGCGAAACCATGAGTCTAGGCTGTGGTGAAATATCCATATCTAAATCATCACACCCAGTAATTTGCGATCTTGTAGATCAAGGTCGTAGAGGACGTGATCGTTGACAGAAAATTATTTGCATTTGAGAGACATATGGTGGCGAAAGACTAACGATGATGAATATGCGAAACCATACGATGAGGAATATCCTTCCCCAGGGTCATGCCTAACTGATGTAGTGAACTCCTGAGCTCCTATTGTGATTTAAGGTTTCCGAACTTGGAGGAGGAAGTTTCATCCTTTTAATGTGTTACGAAGAACATTATCGATGACATAGGTGAAATCCTTGAAGCTGATACAATGACAGTGATAGATTAAGCTCTCGGCATGCTAAAATTCAATTGGGCGCCACTGACAGCAATTATTCTTCTTCTTGAGTGGCATTTGATCTTTTTCCAACATAGGTATTGTAAGAGTGTCGATAGTGTAATATTTTATCAACTTGGCAATATCCGGAATGAAGTAATTATGAGGCATGCTGTTGAATGGTTACTTCATCTGATTTGTTTCCCAAGTTCTTGGATATTAAGAACGTCGTGAATGCTGTCAGAAATCGGGTGCTTATATTTTCAAGTTGATTTCCTAACCTCATAGGCGTTCCTCTTTCAAAAAATTATTATTGGTTATTGTTAAGAAGTATGCTGTGATGCAAGCAAGCTATAGTTATAAGGGTTTCGTTGAATTATTTCTAATGCTGTCTCCGTTTTGTTAACTTCTTTATAATTTACAATCATAATACATACTTCAGTTCTCAAAATATTAAATTTAAATCAACTGATTGTCACAGTTTTCATCATATTTGTGGATGCATTAGGTAATAAATTGCACTGTCTGTGGCTGGATCGCATTTTTTGATGTCGATAAGACAAGCTAGAGATATCGAAGAAGCCGCCAATATGTCTGTGATTAGTAAGGTAAGAATATTAATAAAATTACGTAAATCGTGTCACTTTTACTCAATAGACCTTGGCATGTCAGAGGGAGCACACGATTCTTCAGTGCCCGACACTGAAATTCAGTACTCGTTTACCGCGTTCAATCGAGCCACGAAAATTCAAAACAACTACTACTACTTTTGATACCAGCCGGTAATGCAACTTTCAAGAATAGCCAAATTTCCTTCAAACCAATATAGAAGAGAACACAAGAACGAAAGTGAAAATCATAAATCTAACAAATTGAACTTTTATCATATTAGGAAATCGCTTAGCTGAGAAGCACAAAAAATTATTCATATTTGACGTATAAAGCAAGTTATGGAATAAAAGCTTCGCAAAAAAAATTATATCTCGACCTCACATTTCGAGTTACATGGAAAACTACAAAGAAGCTTTGAATACTATTATTCAATCAAAGATGGGATTTAGTGTTTTATTACAAATGAACGTCATGAGAACGGTGTGACCGTAATATGTCTAGCTCATGACATCCTGAATAAAATTTCCAATTTCAGGTCATGGAGCACTTTCCAACGTCGAATACAATGTCAGTTGATTGAAAGCTTTCTTAACTGAGAAGCAGCGTTGGGCAATGGACCGAAGTCAAATGCAGTGTGGAATCTCAATTTCATTTGCCATAACTGAAATCTTACCTCAGACGACAGTGATATCAATGCATTTCAGATTTAGAGAATGATACAAAATGTATCTAAATTGTAGGAAATTATCAAATATCACTGGCAAATGAGGAGATACAGTCACAACACAAATTTGAAAACAAATCAACAATTCAAATTTCGATATCGTGTCCTAAGCCAGATAAGCCATTGTCCGCGAAAGAAAAGATTGCCAGCCAAATTATTAACACAAGAAGTGTCCACCAAGGATCTCATTATTCAATGAAAAGCTCCTCTAAGACTACTAGTATCTAAATACGCTGGTATCCATCAAAGGCTGTTAGAAATGCAGCACAAAACAAGGTGTTTTACAAAACTCGTCATTTTGAAGTGGATACAAAATATTCAACAGAAGTAATATTCAGCAACCACTGCTATGAGGAGTCGAAAAAAAAGCAGGAAGACAGGAGGACTACCTATACGAGCAGATTAGAAAACATCCTTAAATGAAAACATTAACTTACTATCACCTAAGTGGTATTCATTAGGTTAATGTTGCCTGGTGCACGTCACTGGAGGAATCGAAAGTAACTGCAAGAACTGCCTGTCTCCCATTTCACACCACGAGAGCTTGGCCTTTATTGGTAATCAAAAGAAGTTAAGTTTTCGAAATCAACCGCTAAAAGAAAGTCTTTCAACTGCTCCCGCTAGGAGTTCAACTTGGGTGGTCACCGCTACTCGGCTTGAGTGAATGGATTAGCTATGGCCTCGCACCCGTCCATGGGACAGATGAGCACCACTGCCGTGCCGCGACACACCACAAGGCCTCGCTCCTTGGTGTCCTCGGTCAGCTTGTATGGGTCATCAGGATCTGAAAAATGTGCGCTTGTCAGAAATTGTAATGTATAGATTGATGCAATTGATTCCAAAGCCAATGATACTGATCAGTCCAGCTATTGACTGATATGATTAGCAATTGATGGACTAAAATAAAGCTTAAAATCTGGATTAAAACATGAATAATAAAAAGTGTTATTGCAAGCCCATAAAGGAATTACAGCTTTGAGAACAATTAAGATGATAGAGAAAAACAAATTTGATGACTTTCAAAATCGAAGCTCAGTCTAATTATAACCTAGCTTGAACCAGACTGCCAGTCATCTTCATGTTCTCTTGCTAGAACTGATAGCAAATTTATGTGCCAGTAGCAACAAGCACAATATTTCTTTACTACTGTCCGACCTAACAAACAAACAGCTTGTATAAATATAAACCGTAGGTATGTGGCACAAATGACAATCTAAGCTGAAAATGATAATATCAATTTAGTCATATCAATGACCTAATTGAATCAATAAATGATTCAATGTGAATCCAAGGATCATTTTGAAATGAAACATAGTTACTATTTTACAGATGAAACCTGCACACATTTAAATTACTTTACTTTCAAAATAATAAACAGGATTTGGAATGATGGGAATTATTGTAACACAATTTGAGATGATGGGATCTAGGATTCAGGTTAGTGGGATCCTCCATTGCTGGCTAAACCAGCTAACATTAATTGTATTCATCACATTTTAAACAGTCAATTGTCATTCTTGTGCTCCCTAATTTATGCCTACCGTACTCTGCTTTCCTCATATTTTAAATTCCTTAATTATCATTACTGTTAATGTGATGCATTTCTAATTGTACATTTCCCAACAAGACAACTTTACCACAGTCTTTCACATATGTATACTGTATACTGTTTTTAATTCATCTCCTCAAGAAACAGTTTAAATACAATTTCCTGAGATAAATAACCTCCCTAGACATCAGCTGTTATCCACAAATTCATTAAGTGAATTCTCATCTGATGTTCCATTGTTTAAATGAAAAAGAAGGAAAAAAAAGAAATTTTCAAGCTTATGAATTAGTATATGTAGTTTATCAGGTTGGTCAAATTTACAAGCAAAAATACATCTGTAGGAGCTCTCACCTCTGAGATATTCAACAGTATTGTCAAGTACCAAATTGATGAGCTGATCATAGCCTTTAAGAACTCCTGATGCTTCTCTGCCTCCAAAAAATTTTACTTTGATGGTCTTGTCAAGGTACTTGCTGAGGTCCAAAATTGTCTCTTTGCGCTTCTTCTCCTTTGTCTGATCAGGGGCAGCAGCAGCAGCTCCAGCAGGCTTTTTAGCAGCACCAACTGCTCCAATATTCTGAAAATACATTCCACTCACAGCATTGGAAAAAAGATAATCAATTAAAAAATGAATATCTATAAACAGGACTGTAAAGTCTGGTCAATTTGGACATAATTCCTAATCATAAACAAGTTTTGTTGAAGACCAGAGAGTTAGTTTTATTTATTAGCTTCTTGTTAGTTTCCTTATCATTATACATATATATTATAAGCAAAATCCAGGATTGAATACATGTAAAATATATACATAATGTCACTAGAACAAAAGTTCTACTATTAAACACTAAATAAAAAGGCATACATAATCATTAATGGATAAAGAATATAACTGCACCAATCAATCTATACTAAACCAGTTACTGATTTATTGAAAGCAGAGACTCTCTTACACTCTTCTTCAAGGTCATTATTAAGTTCCATAACACCATAGGTATGCCGGTAAAGTATCATAGTATCATAGATACTAGCCTTAGCAAGTTAGCATACATAAGATCTTGATTGAAATCTGAGTAGATGAGGAAATTAAAAATGAACTGATAGTAAAAATTCTCTGGTCTCATTAATACAGATGGCAGGTACCAGTACCACCATACCAAACCAAATATCAAGGATTAATTGCAATTAACAAGTAACATAATTAGGCCACCAATTTAATGTCAAAATGGCCTATGTCAAACTTAAAAAAATGCCAGTATCTCAAGTTTAGTAATTGTTTAGATGTTAAAGGCTTCATTTTTGAGTTGTGAAGAACTTCATCTTCCAGCATTTATATCCTTGTACCTAAGTTGTAACTTGTAACCCTGTCCTTGTGTTCAAGTGTTTTATTGACAGTTGCTTGCCAAATATTCTAATGCCTAAAATTTGAGAAATTTTTCAGTTTCATTTAATGCCATCATGCCAAACTCAAAGAATTCGTTTTGTATTATCTTTTCATCCTGTCTAATTCTTGATAAAACAGTATAACTATAAGTAAGCTGTAAAATTACAGTAGCCTACCTAAAAGTGAACGTACAAAGCTAGCAAAATAAGCAAATGGTGTGAATTTCAAGATTCAAGTTGATGTCGTTTGTATCAAATAAAATAATAAAAAAGAAAAATCAAGCTGCACTCTGGTTGTCTGGCATAAATAGGTATCCTAGCTATTTATTTTGCACACTAGAACTAGAGGGCAGAGGCTAGAGCTTTCTTTATATTTAGGGAACCAAATGATTCATTAAGAAACATAGGTAGCTAAGGTAGGTGCTTTAGGTAGGTAATAGGTATATATATACATGAATACCTAGGTACATAAGTCTTAAGAAACTTTTTGACCTTGCTTGTATGCATTTTAATGCAAGGTGAAGGAGATGAGAAAAATTAGGTCATAATTAAATGAAGATCAGAAAAATCTAACTTGGATCTTGGATGTTTTGTTACTTTTGTAATACCTAAATTTTCTGCTCTACTCAGAGTCTACTGGCTACTGTAACAAATTTTTATTTAGTCACAAAAACTTTTACTAAAACACATTTTACTGTTGGAAATAGAAAAGCTCATTTTGTAGGAATTATAGGCTATATAAATTAATCTCATGGTTTAATTATAAAACCAAGGCGGGTTGGGAAATTTGAAAGCCCATTTATTATTTTTGCCAGCCTTGAGCTCAAGTCAGGGCACCACACCTGAATAATTATTGTTAGACCGTAGTCTGGCCACTCTGGCGTAGAGGCGTAGACGGCACTTTCAACGAGATTTCAAGAACAATCCAACAGAACATTTTTTACCGAGAAAAAAGTGCATTAGTGATTGAAAAATTATAAATAAAATTTAACGTGACACTATTAGTACTATTTACCTTAGTTATACTAACTCAGTAAGTAGTAACTCACCCCAGACATAATCGATCAAGCCGCTCCAATGCGAAGTGCGATAGGTCTGAAAATACGACAGCGACACTAACAAAACGTTTCAATTTGCCGCTTTATGAATAGACGAGGCATGACGGTATCACGACGATAGCAGAGGTACTTCAATTTTTCGAATACAAATCAGTAGAGAGAGATTTTGAAAAAAAAAACAAATCGCACACGAAACCATTGAAGATTGGACCTACAAAATATGAACTTTGATGTTATTTTCTTGAGCTAATTCCTAACTTGCAAAATGAGGCACTAATTGAGCTTCAAGTGGAAATTTTATTAACATGGCATAGGCACAAATCAAATATAAATCCACGTCTTAGAAAATCTAAATTACCATTCCCCAGCTTGTTGCTTCTTTCTTCTTCGTCGTTTCAAGCCAATAACAATAACATCAACAACATTTATCGGTAGGAATAGGTACGCGTTTTAGGAATCGATTCCTCAACCGGCTCATTAAAAAATGAAAAAACCTGTAGCCTAGTGTTGTTTCGCCGAATGAAATTTATTTAAGTCTGAAGTCTTGTTATAGCTAATGTTAATTTTGTAAACTCTTCTATATTTTTTGTGTTAGCCTATAACCAATAAATACATAATAATAGCCTAACCTACGCGTTTTACTTTTAGGAATCGATTGCTCAACCCGACCGGCTCCTTAAAAAAAATGAAGAAAATCTCTAGACTCTTGCGTCTTACCTATGCTATAGCCTAGTAGGCTAGTCAGGCTAGTGCCCTAGGGGCCCGGCGCTGGGCGCCCCGGCCTAGGTAGCTAGTGTTGGCTGTTAGGTCGCCGAATGAAATTGGTTTAAGTCAGAAGTCTTGTTATGATGTTAATTTTTGATGTTAATTATTGTGTTATAGGCCCTATATTGTGTGTGATATTTTATTGTGAATTTGTGTCCTATATTCTTTTATTGTGTTATACCGATAAATAGATTAACCTACCTTCAATAGTGAATGTGGGAATCATAATGGCAAACCAGAGCTTTTTTAGAATCAGTTCATTTTTAATTTCCTTATTTACTCAAGATTTACACCAATTTCTTATGTATGAAAATGCTGGTATCCAGGATACTTTATTGGTCTACTTATAGGACTCAAAAATGAACTTGAGGGAGAGTCTAAAAAAGTCTCTGCATTGCCACTATGGTGGGAATATTTATGTAAATGTCTTTCAAAAAAAAAAAAAGACCTAGGGTAAACAGTAAACACACCATATTCCGACACATTAAGGATGTACCAAGAAATGAATGGCTATAAAAATATCACCATAGGCGCAAGTCCATAGTGGCAAAGCAGAGAGTTTTTTAGACTCTACCTCAAGTTCATTTTTGAGTCCTATAAGTAGACCAGTAAAGTATCATGGATACCAGCATTATCATACATAAGAAATTGATCTAAATCTTGAGAAAATTAGGAAATTGAAAATGAACTGATTCTAAAAAGTCTCTGGTTTGTCACTATGGGCGCAACTCGAATAGTCGAATTCTGATTGCTTTACTCAGCCTTTACCATAGTGACAAAGTACAAACCAGAGATCTTTTAGAATCAGTTCATTTTTAATTTCCTCAATCCTCATTTACCTAAGATTTAAATGGGCTATACCAATTTCTTATATATGATAATGCTGGTATCCAGGATACTTTACTGGTCTACTTATAGGACTCAAAAATGAACTTGAGAAGTTGAGGGAGAGTCTAAAAAACTCTCTGCTTTGCCCATGGTCAGGAAGGTGCAGCGTGTATGCCGGAGGTTTGTTTTCGGATGTATGCCAGGGAAGAAAGTTGCCAATATGCTTGATAAAAACGGAAGTGTAACCCTCGCCAAGGCTGCGTGATCGACACAGGGACACGTACTTCACGATTGATGCCTGGCGATCGTCATAAACACACGTGCTTTACGATCTTTTTAGCCGATGCCCAATGATCAACACTGATGCGCGCTCTTTGCGATCAAAGTGGCCGATGCCTAATGATCGACACAAGCGCACGCGATTTACGATCGTTTTAGCCGATGCCCAATGATCAATACTGATGCGCGCTCTTTGCGATCAAAGTGGAAGATGCCTAATGATCGACACAAGCG